TGTTATATTATCATGTAATATTTAATATAAGTTTATTTTATCATTGAAAATGCAGTTTTATAATATCTGTAATTTACATAAATTATATTCCTCATAATGTTTCAGAAATAATTTGTTAAAAATAAAAAATTTATATTATCTCTTTTCTTTTAAAGAATCATATACGTACTCTGGATCATTATGTTCTTTTTCATTTAATGTTTTTAATATTTCATCAGCTCTTAAACTAAGTTTTGCAGTTTTTGCTTCATCATCAAATTTAATAAGCATATATTCCACCTATTTTAACACAAATTAAAATAACATTAAAAATGTTAGGACATTTTAACTACTAACGTTATCATGACATGTAAGCTTAGAAAATATCTTGATAGTAAGTAAAATTGTTAAATGACATCTCAATAAAACCATCTAGTTAAAGCAAAATATGTTGACTCATTGCTCTAAAAGAACTGAATTGTTATTGGATAAAACACAAGGTCATGCTTTGCAACAGTGTGAGAAGTATAATTGCTGACAACTTTTATAAATTGCTTCAATCAATAAATTTTCAAGAATTTATTGAAAATCCAAGTAAATAAAAATAACACAGAAATTATAATATACAAATAATAAACAATAATAAACAATTTAAGATGTACATTCAATTAAAGAAAAATTATTCTTTTAAAATTATACATGAAATATTGTAAATACATTATTATATTACGTTAACAATAGTAATTATTTGACATATGTAAAAAACATATAAAGAATATTGCGCAGTTTGTACCTATACTATTTTTTATGACATTGCGTGAAATAGGTAATACATTTCGTAATTATTTAATATACTTATTTCTATGTAACAACATTTTAAAATAGCTTATAAATTTGATGGGAGCTATAAAATTAAAAAATTGAATTATACCTCATCACCCCATTTCAGTAAATCACCCTGTCGATCCCTAAGTCTCTTATATAGGTTAATAAATTGAATAATTCCATGTTTTCGAACATGATCAGCGAGATTTTTTGTTTCTTCCCAGGTTAAAGGACTTCCTTCAGATAGTAATCCCATATTTGTACAGGTTAATCAATATACGAGTCTTTCAAAATTTAACACTTGAAATAGTATTTTGCACAAAATCTATTAAATTTGATTTGTGGTAAGTAACACTGAGGCACAATTTTATTTCACGCTTAGAAAAACACAAAATGTCTACAATGAAATAAAGTATAGCACCGCGGACGCTTTATAGACTAACTATAAGTCTTCTATGAACCTTCAGTCATATATAAATACAATGTAATCATACCCTTCTACTACACCTTCGCGACTAGAAGCACTTGAAGATATCAACTTAAAATATTGTTAAGTCATCCCTGCTTTGATAAAACTTAAGTAATCGTGTTGTAATAGTATGATGTGTCTCTGTGTAACTTAATATCTTCCGGTAAATGAATGATATTAATGTAAACATTTCCTCGAGCAATATATATGACTCACGTGCTCAATTACAGCGATTATTAACTACGTAGATAAAAGATATTTTATTGATATAATAGTGAATAAAGAACTCGCGTCTCATATTGCTT